TATCTTTATTCATTTTATTAATTTCTTTGTTCTAATTGCTGTGGCTAATGTTTCCAGAACTATATTGAACAGGAGTGGTGACAGTGGGCATCCTGGTCTTGTTCCTGATTTTAGCATGAAAGTTTTCCATTATTGACCATTTGGTATGATGTTCGCTACTGGTTTTTTCATAGGTAGCCTTAATCAGGTTAAGATAAAGACCTTCTATTCCAATTTTCTGTAGGGTTTTTATCATGAATAGGTGCTGGATTTTGTCGAATGCTTTTTCTGCATCTATTGAGATGGTCATATGGTTTTTGTCCTTGACTCTGTTAATATAGTGTATTACATTTATTGATTTACAAATGTTGAACCATCCTTGCATCCCTGAGATAAATCTGATTTGGTCAGGCTGTATGATCTTCTTGATGACCCTCTGTATTTCGTTTGCCAGTATCTTGAGGACTTTTGCATCTATGTTCATAGGGAGATTGGCCTGTAGTTCTCTTTTTGGGTTGGGTCTTGCCCTGGTTTGCAAAAGAAACCACCAACAAAGCTAACAGACAACCTACAATATGGCAAAAAATTTTTAGCAGCTGTACCTCAGACAAAGGACTACTATCTAGAATATATAAGGAAAAGAAAAATCTTAGACCCCCCCCCAAAATTCAAAGACCCAATTCAAAAATGGGCAGCTGAAATGAACAGATATTTCTCAGACGAGAAAGTAAAAGCAGCAAACAAATATATGAAAAAATGTTCAACATCACTCGTCATTCAAGAGATGCAGATGAAAACAACACTGAGATTCCACCTCACCCCAGAAAATAGGCTGCTATCAAGGAATCAACCAATAACAAACTCTGGTGGGGGTGTGGGGAGAAAGAAACCCTGCTCCATTGTTGGTGGGAGTGCAGACTGGTGCAACCACTATGGAAGTCAGTATGGAGATACCTCAAAGAACTAGGACTAGAGGTCCCATTTGACCTAGTTATTCCCCTGCTGGGTATCTTCCCCAAAGAATTAAAAGAATCATACCACAGTGGTATATGTGCACCCATGTTCATAGCGGCACAGTTTTTAATAGCTAAAGCTTGGAAGCACCCCAAGTGCCGATCAACTGGACACTGGATAAAGAAATGTGGTTTTTCCACCAGCAGTGTGAAAAGACAACACACAGTGTGGGAAAAAATCTTCACCTGCTCTTCCTCAGACAAAGGTCTACTATCTCTAATCTATAAAGAACTTAAAAAGATCAGACCTCCCAAATTTAAAGACCCAATCAAAAAAAGGGCAACTGAAATGAACAGTCATTTCTCAGACAAAGAAGTAGAAATAGCAAATAAATACATGAAAAAATGTTCAACATCACTGGTCATTCAAGAGATGCAAATGAAAACAACACTGAGATTCCACCTCACCCCAGAAAATAGGCTGCTATCAAGGAATCAACCAATAACAAACTCTGGTGGGGGTGTGGGGAGAAAGAAACCCTGCTCCATTGTTGGTGGGAGTGCAGACTGGTGCAACCACTATGGAAGTCAGTATGGAGATACCTCAGAGAACTAGGACTGGAAGTCCCATTTGACCCTGCTATTCCACTGCTGGGGATCTTCCCCAAAGAATTAAAAGTATCATACCACAGTGATATATGTGCACCCATGTTCATAGCAGCACGGTTTGTAATAGCTATACCTTGGAAACAGCCCAAATGCCCATAAACTGGAGACTGGATAAAGAAAATGTGGGGTTTTATTTTTATAAAATGGAGTACTACTCAGCCATCAAAAATGAGAAATTAGAGACATTTATAGCTAAGTGGATGCACATTGAGGCTATACCCTTAAGTGAAATAAATAGGACACACATGTGTAAATACAGAATAGTTTCTCTGGTGTGAGAAACTGAAAGTGTAAATAAGGACTAAATGTATAATAGGTAATGTGAAATAGGAAGAAAAGGGGCAAAGGGGAAGGAAGTGGGAGGGCTAGGGGAAAGGATAGAAGGGAATGGGATTAATATGAGAAAATGGAAAAATAGGAACAAAATCTTTGTAAATAGGGAGGAATGGAGGGGTTGAAGGGAAGGCTGGGCAAGGATGAAAAATAAGAACCAAGGGAGTATATGTAAAGGTGCAAATTTCCAATGATGAATGTCATTATATTGTGTACCTAAAATGTACCAATGATTAGAATGAATAACCAATAATGTAAAATAGGAAGAAAAAGTCCAAATGGGTAGGGGTAGTGGGAGGGGCAGGGGAAAGGAAAGAAGGGAAAGGAAAAATGATGAGAAATGGAAAAAATGGACATAAAGTCTTTGTAAATAGGGAAGGGTGGAGGGTGTGAAGGGAGGGCTAGGAATGGGGAAAAAAAAGAACCAAGATGCATTATGTAAAGGTACAATTCCCAATGAGAAATGTAATTGTGTTGTATACCTACAATGTACCAATAAAAGAATTTAATGTTCTTAAAAAAAAGAAATTTTTTTTATAAAATGGAGTACTACTCAGCCGTAAAGAATGAGAAACTAGAGTCATTTATAGTTAAATGGATGCATATTGAGGCCATACTCTTAATTGAAATAAGTAGGACACACATGTGTAAATACAGAATAGTTTCACTAGTGTGCGGAAGTGATAGTGTAAACAAGGGTTAAAATGATTAAAATGAATAATTGATAATTTGAAATAGGAAAAAGCGTCCAAAGATGAAGGAGTGAAGGAAGGGGAAGGGGAAAGGAAAAGAGGGAAAGGAAAAACTATGAGAAAAGAAAGAAATGGAAATGCAATCTATCTAAATAGGGAAGGGCAGAGGGGGTGAAGGGTGCTCAGGTAATAGGGGAAAAAAAAGAACCAAGATATATCATGTACAGGTACAAACACCCAATCATAAATGTAAATGAATTGTATACCTAAAATGTACCAATAAAAGAACAAAAAAATGAAATAAAATGAAATGAATCAAGTTATAGATCACATAGCTCAGAGCCTGGAATCTAGGAATCTTTCAAATATAGTTCATTATAAAGTGTTTACCCTCATGCTTCTCCTGTTTTTCTTCATCCTCGTCATAATCCCTTTGGAATGGTGGGGAACAGTGAAGAAGGGCCCAGTTTAACCTTTTGTGGATGACATGTCTATGAAGTGCAACAAGTGTAGGAGGAAAGCAAAAATGAATGACTTTTCTGGGATCCTTAACCCAACACAGGATAGAAATTGCACACTGCATAGCTGAAAGTCTTTCTATTAGTATTCCTTTGTCAGGCTACCAAAACCCATTTATTCTTTTAAAGTTTTAAGAGCTCATACTTAAGAAATATTGCACAAATACAGTGTAGCATGTTACATAGAACATATAATTCAGATTCAGATACTTGGGAATCCCTCAATATTGGTTCAGGATGTTATGGTTATTTTCATCTTCATCATCACCATCATAACGCTTCTGAGGCACTGAGGAAACTACTCACAGACACCCATAATCTGCTCTAATGGATTAATGTCTATGGAAAACAGGAACAGTGTAATAGGAAAGGGAAACTTTGAGTGAGATATTCCATTCCCCAGGACAAACAAATATGAAACATTCATAGTCTTCATTACTGAAATTGTGCACAACACTGTAATTCCATCTCACCATGCAAACTTTCAAGTATCACTTCATGATGTATAACAATTTCTCCAACAGTCCTTTCTCCAGCCTTCCTCCCTTTCAACACTTACTGGATTAGGTTGTGTCTTTTCTGGGTTATGTTAAAAAAACAAAACAAAACTGTGATGCTAATCCCATACCTGCTTGAGAACTGGTAAAGATTCTAGAACAATGCAGAGAATCAACCATGTCAGATAAGGGCTTCCTGTTTCTGACAATCATGAAGGAGGAGACACACCAATGATGAAAACTGGGCTGAAAACATCCAAATGAAATCCTGGGAGAAGAGGCTGATTGTAGACTATTAATTATAGGACATTGGGAGCTCAGTGCACACATCTTTTAATTACTCAAGTTGTCCATGTCATACCAGCACTAAGGACTTCTGAAATGTACTGGAAGTTAAAGAAAAGAAAAAAAGAGATCAATGTCCACAAAAGGTTTTGTATCTTTTTCTACTCAGAAGACATTTCAAGGGTACTATTAACTTTTAAAATTTTACTTTTCAAAAAAAATTCTCAGCTTATTATGACTATTGTTCGTTGTGTTAAGATATGTATAAGTAAGTGGATAATTTTAACCACTGTTAAGCACGACTTGGAAACATACATTACAATGTTATTTTTGTGCAACTCTCAAGTTTTCTCTTTCTTAAAAGAAATTTTCACCAATGTGCAAAACCATACATACCACATCCATTCAAGCAGTCATTATTCTATCATGAAATGTGATCTGAAATTGAAAGCATCAAACATCTGAAGTAATACAACAAATGAAGCAGTGATTTCTGTGTGTTCAGTTTTATTACATTTCTCAATCTACATGCCAAATGGATAATAAAGTTCCTGGAATTAGACTGTCCCACTATAGAGCCTCCTCAGGGTGCTGCTGAAATCCTTATTCCTCAGACTGTAGATGAAGGGATTCAGCATAGGGGTGACCACAGTGTACATCAGAGAGGCCACCATGGCCTTGCTGGAAGAATATGACACAGCTGAACTAAGGTACACAGAAAGGCCTCTTCCATAAAATAGGCAAACAACTGACAAGTGAGAACTACAGGTAGAAAAAGCTTTGTACCTCCCACCTGATGATGGGATTTTTAGAATGCTGGATACAATTTTAGAATAAGAGAAAATGATCCCTGCCAGGGGGAAAAAGCCAAATATGACACCAGCAAAATATGTGACAATGTTTTTCATTAATGTATCACAACAAGAAAGCATAAGGAGTTGAGAAGGGTGACAGAAGAAATTAGCAATTTTAACATCCTTGAAGCAAGTAAGTTGTAAGGCAAGGAAATTGTGCACTTGAGAAGCTAAAAAACTAAAGAAGACAGAGACCAATATTAGTAGAACACAGAAGTGAGGATTCATAATGACAACATAATGCAGGGGGTTGCAGGTGGCCACAAAACGATCATAGGCCATCACAGTCAGAAGCATGTCATCCATACACATGCAAATGATAAAGAAATTCATCTGTATCAGGCAGCCCACATAGGAGATGACCCTGCTCTGCGTTAGGCTGTCCACTGTCATCTTTGTGACAGTAGTGGAGATAAAACATATGTCAGCCATGGACAGATTGGAGAGGAAAAAGTACATAGGGGTGTGGAAGTGGGAGTCATAGATAACAGCCAGGATGATGAGCAGGTTCCCAAGCACTGTGACCAGGTACAAGGACAGGAAAAGTCCAAAGAGAATGGGCTGCAAGTCTGGATCTTTTGAGAAGTCCAGGAGATGGAATGCAGAGACACTTGTGAAATTGTATGTTTTCATGTTGTTTGAGCAACCTAACAAAAAGGAATTTCATTGGAAAAATGAAACAGGCACCCTGGATTCTGTACTTTGAATTGAAATAGTTCCAAGTAAACTCCTTACATTTGAAGACTAAAACCTTCAGTAATATTTCTCTGTTCTGAAAAACTCTCTTCCTCATGGGCTTTTTCATTATATGGTTTCTTGACATCCACCTCCATCAACACACTCCTAATTCTCAGACCCTACAGTGAATTCTGTTAGGAGACCAAGAACTTTAGAGTTCAGAAGTCCATAATCCCAGAAATATACAGCTAACTCTTTTATAGAAAAAAGAATAGAAAGTTATCCCATCCCTCTTTAAAAAGTAATATTATTGGGGTTTTGGTCCCTGCCATGCAGGCACAAGGTCCCAAGTTCAATCCTCAGTACAAAAAAAGAGGAATACTATTGGAAGAAATTTTTTATTTTGGTACCCTGTATCGAACTTGGGTCCTTGTTCCTTCAGGACAGGTGGCAGAACCACTAAGCTAAATCCCCGGACCCTGGAAGAAATTTTTAAAAACAATAAAATATATCTTATTTTATTTTCATAATATGGTACAAATTCTCCTGATTTGGGGTATCTACAAATAGTACAAGATTTATGACTACAGTATTTGAAAATTAAATTAAATTTTTATAATCTGAACACATTTTGGTGAGCCAGTTAGCTCACACAAATTTTTCATCCTTATTAGTTTTTCTGATTTCCTTCTTTCAAGGTTGTAAGAGCTCAGTCAGCATTTTATATTATTTATTATTTAACTCATCATTTTCTCTGATGAACTCAAATTTGTATAAAGCAAATCCAAATACACGCACATAGTCTGATTATATATGATCAGGAAAGGTGACATTCAAGCAGTACTATTTCTGTCAATAATTAATTAGTGATAATAAGCACATTTGAGATTTCAAATTTTGCACGGCTTCACTTTAACCACTTCATATATTATCATTAAAATATTTGCTATATAAGACAGCTTTTTCCTCTTTCTCTTGATTCTCTACTTGAGAATAATTTGCTTCAGTTTTTGTGATCATAACATTATTGTATCCAGTTCAGGACATTAGAAATAAGGAAACTCTCAAACCCTGGCTGAATCCCACCCCCTGCAGCTTGAAATGACAGATTTTCACATCAGTTTTTCCTGATACATGAATTTCATCTCTTTTATGCCATCTATGTAAAGAAAATTGGTCAAATAATTTTGTTAATTCACATTGTTTTAATTGGAAAGAATGTACCTGAAAACTCATGTGCAAAATAAAAAGCTGTATCTGTAATTGTAAACCACTTCATGTAATTTCTCACATCTCTAAAATAGGGATAAAATTATCTACTTTATAAAGTTACTGAAAGAAAGTGTTTTGCAAATCATTTATTTAGACTCATTGTTGGATCTAATTCAATAATAAATATCTGAGAATATATTGAAATATCCAGATGCCCTAGGCATGTATGCAATTATGATTTGATTTAATCAATTTAATCTACATATCAGACTATCTGTATTTTAGGGATTTTTGTCACTTCCTCACAACAGAGTTGGGAAACACAGCCTTAAAGTATTTCCTGGAATTTACAGAATGTTCCACAAGTATTATCTTTCTAAATATCAACATATAAATAATAACACATCATAACTAATATTTTTTAGAGATCTAAAAATTACATGTAAATTTTGTGTTCTTGGTATCTCTCCATAATTCCATTATCTTGCTCACCTGTCCTTAATTGTTTCTGTTGTTAAGAATTCTCTTTGTAGGTTTTCCTGTCAAGCTTTCCAGGATAAAATTGTTTTGTTAGTCCCCAAACCATTTTCTTAAAAGCTCATCTAAAATTTACTCAAATCTCATCTAAGTAGTGTACAACAGAACACCTATTGCACCTGTAAGGAACTGGTTACATCCACAGTCAGTTTTAAGTCTGCCTGTGAAGAACATAGATCAAGTGCAAATGTCTAAGTGATGCAGAGCATTGCCAGAGAGACACGGACCTCACTTAATCTCTAAGTTTATCACTGTGACAATCTATTCAAAATTCTTGTGCCTCTCTCCCTGACATACAAGTAAAAAAGTGTACATAATATATCATGACAAATTTTTCTCTGATTTCCAACAAATATTTTGTGTAAAATTTTATTAATTTCACAATTTTTCCAAAAAATCAATCATTATCACTTACATCCTATTATTCATGACTCTTACTTACCAAACATCCCTGCATTTTGTTCCACAATGATCTCTTTATGAAACACACCAAGAAACTTCATAGGATGCCATGCCGTGGGATGAGAGTAAGGAAATAAATATTTGAGTCCTGTGTTGTTAACTCACTAAAATAGGCAGAATTTGTGTGAATTTGTCCTCCTCTCTGTGTTCATACTGCTTGTGGAAAATAAGAATAACATTTGTCAACACATATATACTATCTAAAGGAAGGATGGAAGTTAAGTATCTACTCACTGTAGATTTTGTTTTAAAAATAGAAATTACATCACCATGCAAGTTGGAAGTTTACCAATAAACACAGTAAACTGTTCAAATGGCACTGGAGCTAGAATGATATGAAGTTCTATAATGCATCTCAGGCGTACATTCTCCTGAGGCATACAATCTCCTCCCTTCTCATTGTTCCTTTTTAAACCATGAATATTTCTGTCCTGTTGGTGACTGATAGAGATGTAATTAAAGGATTATACAGCCCACATAGGCACAGACAAGAACTATTTTATTTCATCTCTACATCTTTGATATATTTGTGAAAGGATTGAAGGTGAAGTCAGGAACACACCAAGCATCTTCTCATCATACTGATTAAGGACAAGTACTGTGACTCCAGGAAGGGTCCTTTCAATGTTTAACACAGGTTTTTACTATTGATGCCTCCTGGGTGTCAAACAAGGTACAGACTTCTGGGACTAAGGTGCAAAGGACAGCACTTCATTCCTCTGTGGACATATATGTACAGTTATGCAAAAAGAAAATCAAATGTCTGATACAGATAGACTAATTTCGGGTCACAGGAAATAATTGGTGTGAAGGTCACTCTTATCATTACTAAAAATTATAACTAAATTGTATTTTGCTCTGATTTCATACCCATGAACCCCATCTGGTGCTCTCCTTATCTGTATAACATTCAGCGCATTTGTTGCAACTACAAATCAACATTAATGATAAGCTGTTTCATAGATACTAAATACCTGATCTGAAT